GTCGACGTGCTGGAATGGTGAATGGCTGCCTGACTCTGGCTGGAAAGGCCACCAGAGCCACAAGATGTGGAGAAAAGGAGGGAAGCTGTTTTGCCAGACATGCAAGGCACATGCATGTTGGAAGAACGAGCAGTTCAATGCAAGCAAAGCGCTCCAAAAGGCATGTGGTAGAAACGAACAGCAGGTCAGTTTGCCAATGATGTTTGCCAGCCAAAACGGCTGATTCAGAGAGCTCAGGAAAAGACACGCAGAAAAAAACAACAGAGAGAAAGAGAGAGGGGGAACATTGCAGCGCGCGTGACGTTCGCAGTACCTGCAGTGCCTCAGGAGACTTGGGTGCTGATGTGGACGTCCACATGGTCTTCAGTGTGCTGAAAACCTTCATCGGTCAAAGCACTCTTCTTCGCAGTGCAAAGGCCTTCGGCCCCACAATGAGTCTCGATGCGCTCTTGTAGCAGCTGCGGGATTTAAGTAGGTTGTTTTGGATCATCTCCCACACAATTTAGGAAGTTTACATTGTATGTCAAAATCAGCGCTCACATGGAAGCACATGCATGCTACATCCTGCTTGAATACCAATGACGGGTTTTGGTCTGTATAGTCGTTTTAACTCATTCATTCACCCTCCTTGGAGCACTTTGGCTTGGCCGAGCTATACGAATTTCAGGCAGGCCATGGCAGGCCATTGTATAAGTGAAACGAAAGGTCGAGTTACTGACGCACAGTCACACTCGGTCATCGTCGAAGTGCCATTTGGACCTCCAAAGCTTGCCAAAAAAAGTCCGGGAGCTAAAACCCACCTCGAAACTAACCAAGATGTCATTCTCACATGTATATATATATATATTATATATATATATATCTTATATATATATATATATGTGTGTAATTTTATGTACATGCAGACATCAAAAGACAACAACATTTGGTGAGCCGGTGCATTCGCGCCACATTCAATCCATGTCAATCCGATTTTGGATTGCGATTTGCTTCGAGCACTCAGCCGGGCTGAAGTTTTGAGACAAGCTGGGTGCCCGACAGCTTTGGCGATCTATGTCCCACCCTTGAAACGTATGACGCGTCGTCCTTGTCACATATGATAAGATCATCATATTTCGTACATATCTCATTGAATTACTAGTAACAAGTGCCACGCTAGTAGTAACAAGTGCCTTACTAGTAGTAACAATATTTGCTATTCGAAACAATAAGCTATTAAATAGCTTCTTTGTTACTAGTAAGGCACCTGTTACTACTAGCGTGGCACTTGTTACTAGAAAAAACAGCACATAGAAAAAGGTTCGGTCCTTGGGCCGCACTTTCTCTTGAGCGGAGCTAAGCATCGAGACAATGCTCATGCAGACGGCATGGACCTGACAAAACAGGCACAGCAAAACAGGCACGGTTGCACATCGTATCACATCGTACATCGTCATACAGCAAATTGTCCGCGGCTTTTAGTCCTGGACCGTGAGGGCTGGACTCCACGCATCGTAGAGGATCGATAAGCAAATGTGCCTGAACATAATCAAAGGGAACACGTTCTGGTAGGGAAACACATACTGAGTAGCAAAACAAAAGATCGGAAGCTAGTGATCTTGCGCTGAAAAAAAATGCTAATGAAAACAAGACGAGCCACTTGTCGTGACCCGTGAGGAAGAGGAAAAGGAGCTCCAGAAAACACTGAAGCAACACACCGCCCCATAAGGGCTACCAAAACCACTCTGAGTTCGGGAAACAGGGCTAAGGCGGCTAAGAGAAGGGAACAGGTTGGGAAACAATAACGAAGAAGAGTTCAGAAAAAAGGAAGGTACATCTACGGACAAAGACCTGCAAGATAAGGCTGGGAGATAAACCAAACTCAAAAACGTGGACCTAAGAATTCGATCGAACATCCATGAAAAGGTGACTACTGTTACTGTATCTACAGTTTCATGGATTTCATTTAGGAGCAGTAAATTGATGTAAACCGTTCAAGCAGGTAAAACCAATCGAAACATGCCGAGTGCACCCGTTCGAGTAGATGTGAGGATGCATTGGTGACTCGCCTTCGAAGACCACCTGTCCAAGAGAAGACCAAGAGAGAAAAACATGCCAAACCTACAAATCAGAATGAGTAAAAAGAGATTGGAACATGAAACCTTACCTTCACTTCCTGTTCAATCTCTTTCTACCAGGCACTTTAACTGCATTTTAAGCATATGCTGCTATCTATTCGCTAGACCGGTACGAAGCAGGACCGGAAGAGCTTTGCCAATCTGTCCATTGTCTGTTTATCGCAAGCCTCTGGACTCTCAAATGGGTAGCCTCAGATGATATTGTGTGTTCCCATGCACTCTGATATCAACTGAATGGAGGCGCAATGTACTAGGTGCAAAGAAGCAGCGCGCAGAAAACCGAAACCGAAGGAGGAAGCGCTCGCCAGCGTACAATGTTCCAGGGGCTGCACAGTGCTACAGAATAGACAAGCATAGAAAGAATTGTCAAACCAAAGACGTGCATCCAAAACGTCTGCCTCCCAAGATGTCAATTCGACAGGTGTCGGTGTCAGGATAGTCGTGCACGTAAATCCCGTCCTTAAAAACTTCAAGCTTAGAGCATCTGAATCGAAGTGCTGGAAGCCTGTGCAATGCATGAATCTCATGTCCTCGCCCGCACGTGCTTCTAGGCTGTCCAATTCCTTGGGAGGCTGCAGGTCAACGGCTGCCAAGAATCGCATGTTACAGAATCTACTGTTTTTGAATGCCTCGGGAATTCTCCACGTTTGATAGAAATCGTCTTTCATGTCTTCGGGAATTCTCCACATTTCTCACATGAAGAATCGTCTCGAAGCACCGCCACGGCCCTGCCTTTTGCACGCGCTTCTGGAAGGGTGTGCGTGTCGAGGCTACCTCAAGAGCCATGTCGGACGGGCTTTGCGCTTCAGCTCGTGTCTTTGGTATTTTTCACGGCTCTTGCTTTTGGGCTGGACTTGGATTTCACGAATGGCTCTATAGACTTTTTGAAGGTATTAACATGTTTGAACCTTCTGAGAGTCAATCCGACTCTCCACTTTGTTTGTTTCTGGGATCCTATAGTAATATCATTGGGTGAAGGGATGTGAAGAGTTCAACATGTCAGTTCCCGCAAAGTACGGTGTGAAAAGCCAAGCAAGTGTTAGTAGTCCTCCTTTAAGCCGGTTGGTAGCGTTGTAAGTCTGCGCATTGCAAAACGACGATTGGCACACAACATCCGTCTACCACAACAAATGATACTTGGGTACCCTCCTTGCATATTCAACCTACTGAAGACCACATGATGAAGCTGGATTAAGAAGTGCGTGCTTTCCGCTGGTCCGAGAGTAAATAGTGTTATATACTTGTTGCTGGCAAATAAACGAAGGAGCATCAAGAGGTGAAGATGAGCATGCATTTGCTTGCTCTTGGAATCTAGAAAATGAGCTACGAAGCCACTCCTTAAAAACAAGCACGACAATAATGGATGAACAGGCCTGGCCTGGCATCGAAGCATTCAGCAAAAGCTTGTCGCCTCCATGCTTTAAGGATTCTTCCCAGGCAAATGAGGATTCTTCGGGCCAAAGAAAAGTACAAAACTACAAAGCTACAGAACTGATTTCCACACTTCCACACTCTCCAGTGCTTGAAACCTTGAACTGAAACTACGTTGTTTCCACAGAACTGTTGACCCAGGTAACCCTTTGGAGCTGATGGCAGCTCTTTCAGAGGCACAGGTGTGCATTAGTTTGTCTTTCCCAAGTCTGCGCAGTGGTTGTTGATTGAGTGGCTTCATGCAGGCTTTCCGCCTGTGCAAAGTCATCAAGCTCTGCAAGGGCAACGAGCCATTAGGGGCTTGCTGCGCTCGCTTGCTTTCTATAAACAAAGAAACTGAAGCAACAAGTCACCAAGAGACAGATCAACTTTCACGATAAACGTTCACACTGTGAAATGAACACATGTTTAGGATGTGGTGGGACTATGCGGCAAAGCTGGGCAGAATGGCCACCAGAAATACAATTGAGGACCTTCAGCGGAGAAAAAGGTTCATGCACAAAAGAAAATTCATATGAATCAAGCACAAGCAATGCACGAGCAAGTGTTTCCAACCTCTCGGGCGCCAAAAATATGGCTAGGTTTGCTTGTCTCTGATTGTGGCAGGAGATGTCACATCGTTCCTAGTGAGTTGTTCACCACACTCACTAAGCTCAGCTCACGAGCTGCAATGGTTGCAACTTGAGCCTGACCTTTTGAGAACGACGGAAGGCAAAGGCCAATCATTGCTAGAAGGCCCATCATGGCTAAGGAGGTCACCTTCCGAAGGTTCAGAGTGGCATATGTTTCAACAAGGGTCAACAGCTTTGCTGTGACCCCGAAGGTACGCGAATGACGGTGATGCCAAGAATGTACACACATGCATTGACCGAACAAAAGAATGAGTTTTATGGTTCTCTTGTCTAACATCACAAGAATGAACATACAGTGAGCAAGTGGCAACACGTCCAATGCTTGCCAATTAAGACAATGGCATGTTGAATCATTTTGACATGGGCTACTTTGAAAAATTGTGCCCTTCAGACCTAAGGTGTCTAGACTAATGTACTCAAGTCAAAGCCACACATAGGCTGAAGGATGATGACAGGGATGAGTGGCAAAGCCTTCCAAATGAGCAATTCATGAGCAGCGTTGCCTCTAGCAAAGGTGGTGCATCCCCAAACATCCTTCAGCTAGCAAACGACCACCACTTAAACAAGGGAGAGCAAGGCCTTGCAGTTTGACCATTTGAGGATTGCGTCCGGGCTTCGGCTCCCTTGAAAAGGTGATCACTGTGAAACTAAAGAAAAGCTCAGCAGGGTAAAGTTGATGAGATTGTATCAACACGGAGAAGCATCGTTAAACGTCCTTGTATGAATTCTCACATAACCTTCCCTGAAACCGCAAGTTCAGCGCTTGTGCTCGCGTGAACGGAAGGCTCTCACCCGCTGCTTCAATTTATACACAGCCAAGTCAAAAGCCTGCAAGGAGGGCACATTAATAACACCAGTGAACTTGGGTGCATTTGGCTCAATTTCATGTTGAATAAGTTCTGGATTATTCTAGATTTCAGCAGCTATGTCACCTATGTCAGCATTCAATGTTTTCCGTCGAACCAGCTTGGCCAGGAACTTTGTCCGGTGTAGGTCAAGCCCTCGAGTCGGCTGCCTATATGGGTTCCGAGACTTTGCAGCTTTAGCAACAAATGCGACATGTCACGCACAGTGCCATGGATCAACAACTGCTTTTCTTCGGTTCGAGACTGTGTTTTGTCCACCACCGAAAGCAATTTTGCCAATTTTTCCGCCGCTTCACTGCTTAGGCGAAGCAGCTGCACTGCCATTTCTTGGGCCATGTCACTCTGGGCCAAATCTGAAAACTCCTCCACATCTAGCTTTGCAAACCTAGTGTCATAGAATTCGAGTCTGTCAAAAAGGAAGTACAAACCATTGCGGCATTTGCGAGTGTCAGCTTCAAATCGTGCCAGCCATGATGAGGAATGTTTGAGCTCAAAGGGTACTGTTGTGGCTTTCAAATGAGCCATCCAGGAATTCTGCAAGGTTCGTGAGGCCTGGGACGATGGCATGCCCATCTGTTCGAGAAAATCCACTGTGATGTCTCTCTCTGATGCCAAAGCTAACTTTGGGCGGTTTTGAGCCTCTGCTACAAAGTGATCCCATACATCAGTCAAACGCATACGCTCCTTGCGTTTCTGCATCTGCCGGCGCCGGCGCATTTCTTGAAACCTGAGGCACTGCCCGTGTAAGACATGAAACTTGCTACGAAAGGCCGAAGGTGTAAATTTGCACTATCGAGCTGCGTTACAAGTTCTTTGCTTTGAAATGGATGCAAACAAAAATGACTCAGTGAACGGCAACGCTATGGAAGGTTTGAGGTAGGCATGGTTTTTGAGATAAGTCAAAAGAAAAAAACACATTATATAAAAACAAAAAACAGCTTCTAAAAATCAGCCGAGCTTCTGCTCACCGAGGGATTGGGCACTCGCGGACACTCTCTTCACATCCATGTAGTTATCCAGAATAATGGCCAGGAGCATGTTGAGGAGAATGATTGCTACCAGCACCATGAAAATGGTAAACCACAAATATGCTCCAGATCTTGAGACTTCTTCCATTGGAGCCCATTCCCAATCTCCAAACAGCATCCGGAATGAGCTGTGCAAGGAGCGTGGTAGGTTTCCAAAGGCTTCAACATCGCGGCCGAAGAGAAGTACCGCGTTCAAGCATAAACATGCAATGACGGCTGCTGAGACAAGCCCAAAATGCAGCAAGTCTTGCGATGCCAACTTGATGGTGTCAGTGACCACTGCCAGGCGAGGCTGGGCAGCGAAGGACTTGAACAGTCGCAGCAGTAGGAGCATCGGATAGAAGCAAAGAATCAGTCGAAAGCGTTTCTCTTCTGCTGAGGTGACCTCTAACGCCTGGAAGAAAGCAGCTACTAAAGCCAAACTGCTTCGATCTTCCAAAAGCTTTCCTAAATGATCTTGAAGAGTGCCACTCTCCATGGCCAGGCCAAACCAAAGCACAACGACCACAGCAGCAACACTGATCGACAGCCAGTCAACAATATTCCAAAATCCCAAATAATCTTCCAACAATGCCCGGTGCCACCGGGTTTCGGCATTTCTGATCACTGATATGATTTCTATGATTTCATTTATGAAAATGTAGCACACGCAAACCAGCCAAATTCCGGCGAAAACCATCACTGGTACATTTGCAGCAGTGAACTGAGAAAAATTGACCCACACAGACATCAATTCCACACGCTTCCGCATACGGCCGCCTCTGGCTATCCACAGATTGACTCCGGTAAGGGTCAAAAGTCCATATTCAGCATTGAAGGTTGCCATGGAAACCTCGATACGTTGTGTCCTCTCAGTGACCCACGGCATCGCTGGGCTTTGTGCCTGACACCAATTGCAATAGCATGCTCGGGTGCCAATAGTGTGCACTCCATGACAGCCATCCTCCATATCCAGTACTTGGTCCATCATCCTCTGCATATCAGCCATCAACAGCCATTCTTCACGTGTAGCTTGTTCAAAGACTTCACCAACTGAGGTGTCCGGTTCAAAAAAAGGTTCTTGAAAAGCAGGCATGCAAACTTTTCCATACCAGCGCTCCCAAAGATCTGTTTTGCGCCCTGGTGGAAATCTGCAAGGTGCTTCTGGAGCAACCTGCTGCCGGAAGCGCAAACCACCTATGATGCGATTGTAGTGCAAGTAATCTCCGGCTACGGGAATATGATAGGTGCCCATATCCCACACACTGTTAGGTACAGTATTGAGCTGAAATGCACTTGCAACATTGCGAGCATAACCTTCAGAGTACATCCAAGCTGGTTGAATCACAAGCGGCAGAAAGCCCAAGCGCATCCAAGACCAAAAGTCGGGCACTGAGTGGACGTCTTGTAATGTCTTGTGTCCCATGTACTCATTGAAAGCAAAGTTTGCATTCTCACGAATGTCTTGCTCGATCGCTTGCTCTACGGAAAGAACCACATGCTGGTTCAAGGACAAGACTGCCATCAGGGTGAATGAGACCAAAACGAGGATCATGAAAGGAAGCTCCAAACATGCTTCTTCGTCCTCGAGCTCTTGCCGAACCCACTTCAAGTAGATATTCTGAGGGACGGTGATATCCTGTTCGTCGAAGAATAATGTGCTTTTGGCCCCTTCACTCTCTCCCCACTTTTCCATGACCACATTGGAATAGGCTGGAGGTGGATAGGACTTGAACCAGATCTTCTGCTGCACCACACAACTTTGTGAGAGCAAAAGTCCTGACAATCCTGAAACAAATCAATCAAGGGACCTTGAGGGTGTTCAAAGAATCCTCAAGCTTCTACAAGTGGCTAATCCAGCTAATCCGTATTGTTGGCCTTTTCCTGCAGCAACATGATCCCTCCACACCTAAGAACATCCAAGAACATAGAAAGGCTTGGACAAGTGTTCAGGAGTTCCACAGTCCGTATAGCTGAGGCCTATACACTCCCAGGTGGCCGTCCTCCCACACCTACCTGCAAGATCGCTGGGATCTTGGAAAGGTAATGTTCATTCAAAAGCGAGCTTCTTTGAAGAACCCTAGTAGCGTTCTTGCTCCTAGTAGCGATGCCAGTAGCCCCTAGTAGCGTTCTTGCTCCTAGTAGCGATGCCAGTAGCCCCTAGTAGCGTCTTTGCTCCTAGTAGCGATGCCCTTTGCTCCTAGTAAAGAAGTGAGGAAACAGCTTTCCTGCAGAATGGATGATTGATGGTGAAAGCATATGAAAGCAAAACAGGTCTTACTAACTAGGACCGCTGCGCTCGCCAAGACTGGGCGTTTCTTGTGCGCGCTGAAAAGGGTCCTGGCATCTTCATCTCAAGGTTCAAGAGAATCTCCAAAATATGCACTGATGACTCGGCCTTCCGTCTCGTCCAGACCCAACTCCTTGCACCTTGAGCGCTTTGGGACTGCTTAAGATCTGCTGCAACGATGAAGCAAAAGATCACAACATGTTCACAAACGTCTTTTTGGCATCAGCGCGCCCCACACTGCTTCTGTGCCAGAAACCCCGCGAGGATCTTCAGTGGACCCTTCAATTTACAAAACAAGCAGGAGCTACACAGCATTTTGCCTGCAGAAACTAGATCTGGCGGCTCCGTGGAAGAAGTCGCCAAATTCTGAATTGTCAATTCTTGGAAGAGTTTCCAATAGGCTAAGCGGTTACAAGAGTCTGAAGCAAAATTACAAAGGGTCAGTTCATCTCAATTCTGCAGGGGTTGCACCTTGATCAGATACATGTCACAAAAGCATTGCAAAGTGTGCAGCACAGAGAACAATAATGCCATGCCTGAGTCGCAGCATCCAAATGAGCGGGAAAGGATAGATCCCAGAAACCTACCATGATCAGACCAGAAAGGAAAGTGGAACTACAAGCCACGTGAAGCATGCTCTTCGGCCTGGTGGTGTGCATGTTGGTGCGTGCTCCAATCGGTGTCGAGAGGCTTTCAAGTCTTCAGATTTGGGAGCCAGCTTGGTCGCAGCGTAGAAATTCCGGCATTGCTCACAGTCAAAGCCTTGTAAAGCAAGGCGCTGAGCCTTTCCGCGAACTACACATCGGCAGGGAACCCCCTCCTTGCCTTTGGGAGCCACATGTCCCTCTGCCCGAACTTCAAAGGATCCAGATCGTTTTATCTCTGAATCTGTTCGGGGTTGGCCGATGCCCTCGATATCTTTGTCGAGTTTCAGGCCCGACCCAAAGGGTTCAAACTCCTTGGTGGAGCTTTGCCGTGGCTCCCAAATTCGGAGACCTGCAACCTGCTTCAGCTGCTTCAGAATCGGCAGATCTTTTAGATCTTTGGATGTGGCTTTTTCCGAGACCAGCATGTCCTTGGAGTCATTGGTGTCCTTGGAGTCCGACCCTTCCTTTGATCTCTTTTGGTGAACAAGATCCTGGCTCTGAGCAGTCTGAGGAGGAAAAGAGTCAGTCAGAGCTTTCAATTAATTAACACTTGGTCGCTGAGGTCACTCCTTCTCCGTGCTTGCATTGGTGACATCTTTCATGGGAATACCTCGTTTCCAGATAACAAAGTCATGTTTCCTCTCTTCATGCCCACAACTTCCCACCTTTGCTGAGCTCTTCTTGCACCTGGAACTGCTGAAGAGGAAGCACAGAAGCAGCTGCCATGACTGCAGTCACTGCAGCGCCTCTGGTTCTTTTGGGTCGTTCAACGAGATCAAGCGGCGCCGCTTGACACCTGCAAAGCGAACTAGGAAAACCCGGGTCAGTACAGCCAAGCACAAACTGCTGCATCTAGTCTCATGTAGACATGAACCTAGTGTGACTGGGAGATCAAAAATCAGACTCCTCTCGCTGCCTGCTATGTATCACAGTATTCTTGAAACCAGGCACCTGTCGAACCATTCTTGCTTGCCACCATTGCACCTATTGTCCTCGCACTGAAAGCACGCAACCGGCCCTCAGTGAGGCAGCAGCTTTGCTCAACGGTACTAAACAGGGATGCAAGACTGAGTTCTACATGCACCCGGTACCTAATCTGGACGGTTGTGTAATGTGCGCCTCGTGTTCCACGATCACCTGCTGCTGCTTTGCTACCAGCTTGCCCAGCGACTCAATTTTTGCCTGTGGTTGCGAAGCGAACAACGGCTGATGGAGGAAATGCTACACAAAGCAAACCTCACACGTTGCCGAGTTTGTTGAGGTTCCTCTTCCAGTGGTTGATTCTCCCTCCACTGTATCTAGTAGCTAGCCCCAGCTAAATGTGAACAACCACAGTGCATGTGCAAGATGATGTGACTTCGCATCGCAAAATAGTCACTTGATACCAACAATCTAAATCAGCTGTAAGTGAAGGAGGAGCGCAAACTGAAACAGCTCCACCTTCAATTGTTGATTTTCTGCCTTGGCTTCTTCAGCCATCCTGCGCAAGGAGTTTGCACTCGCAGAACTGCGGCGTCTACAAATCACAACAAATGCAGCTTGCACCTGGCCTCCTGTTCTCATTTGCTTCGATTTGTATCGCCTGGAATGTAGGTGTCAGGCATTTATTTGCAGGGATCTGGTGGAAAAAGCAACCATCGTTTGCATCACATAATCAAAAGGGCACTTTTATCTTACGTCGCCAACAACGACTCCCTCTACGTGCAGACGGCAAGTAGATGTAATTTGCACCCTGGCACTTTTGCCAAGCAACGAGTCATTGCGGGGCACAAGCACCTTTGCAAAGGACTTAGTTCGACCTACGGTCTGCCCTTGCAAGTTGACCCCCTTTGACCGCTCCTGCTCAGTATCTGCAAACCACACACGTTCCTCACGTCCAAGCAAGTGCTCATTGCGGTCATAAGAGGTCATAAGATCTGCCAGTTCCTTGTAACGATCCTTCCCTATGTGGCTTTTCAAAGGCTTCAACCGCGCTGCTGCGGTTCCCGGTCGGGCATAAAATTGCGAGATGTGAATACCCTGAAACTTGTACTTTCGACACAAGGCCATGGTCTCTTGCCAGTCTTCCTCACTTTCGGTTGGGAAACCGCAAATGATGTCTGTAAGCAAAAAGAGCTCCGGAACAGAAGCCTTCAGCCTATCGGCCAGGTAGGAGAAATCAGCGACAGTGTATTCTCGTCTCATGGTTCTGAGAACTTGATCTGAGCCGGACTGAACAGGGATATGCATAAAGGCGTGAACGTTGGGTCTGTTCAAGACCTCGATGATTTCATCAATATGCTGCATGATGAATGGAGGATTGGTCATCCCAGTACGAAGCATTACACCCGGATGGTGTTTCATCAGCGCATCAGAGACACTGCGAAGTAGCTCTGCAATACTGGTGCCGATGTCAAGACCATAGGCACCCATGTCTTCTGAGGCAAGTTCAATCTGACAAACACCTTCACGAGCAGACTCCAAGGCTCTATCTACAATCGCCTCAATGGGATATGAGACCACTTTCCCGCGAGACATCTTTGTTTTGCAGTAGGTGCAGCTTCCAAGGCAGCCGGCATTGATGGTAATGATCTCAGCCAAGCGATGCTTCCGTACCTTCGGGAGTGACAACGATGGCAAGTCGCTCCGTTTCTCCATCAGTTTCACTGTGTTTCCCTTCACCGTCTCCTCTACCACCTCAACAATGCGATCAAGCTGGGTAACATCCAGCATGCTTACTCCCAAGCTCTCTGCAAGCTGTCGATTGCTTGATGGGACACAGCCTGCAAGCACTACACCTTTGCCAGCCTGTTGTGCATTGGAAACAAGGTTGAGTGCTCTAGTTTCTGAAGGATGCTTGACAGTGCAGGAATTGATCACAACCGCATCGCTCTCTTCCAAGGAATCTACAAGAGTGTAGCCATAGTCTTTCAATTGGCCTGCCATGTATTCGCCATCAGACTGATTGTGAGGACAGCCAAATGTTTTCACGTGAATCCGTTGCCTGCCTGGCAATCTAGATTGATCTGATGCAACCGTATCGGTAGGAACACTTGAGCGGGTCAGCTTCCGCAGAACTTCCCCAATCCCAAGACGCGGTGGTCTTGAAATGTGAGCGTCACTGGCTAGATCCTCAAGATCTTCGTTCGCTTCACCACTCGGTTCACTTGGTCCATCGTCTGCTGTGCTGCAACAGTCAGACTTTTGTCCACAGTGCCCATGTCCACAGTCGCAACACGGTGCTTCCCTCAGCCTCTTTCCTCTGTACCGAAGTGCAAATGCTGTTGCAATGGATAGAGCCAATCCGAAGGAAACTGCAAACAAATCCCGTTTCTGCAACGATTGGGTGGTCGAAGTGACTGTTCCCATAGCTCTTCGGAACAAGCGGCTAAACAAGTTGTTTGGAACTGTTCCTGGTGGGTTTACATGGATTGCTAAACTGTGAAACTTTAAAACATGTTTGATCTATCAAGCCAATGATGTGGTGGTGGTCAAATGCTTTGGGCCCAATACGCTATCGGCTTGAACAAGCTACCTAATAAAACCGGCGTGAGCTAATGACTTACGCTTCAGCCGCTGCGAGGCCTCTAGTTCTGTCTGCAAAGATCTCAAGTGAGATCGAAGACCATCACAAGATTGGGCCTGCAACAAGCGGTGAGGAAATCTGTGTCGAAGGATGCAAAGCAACGGGTGAAATCCACACATACCAAAGCATGCCACAAGGGTTCAAGTCGTCCTGTCACTCTCGGCTTGCTTCCCGAAGCGCCTCTTTCATAGCCCATAGCATCACATTTGCTGCCTGCAGTCTGACACAGCCTCTCAGTGAGCCGAAGTGCCTTGACCTCAATGGTTGGGCCTGCTGCAAAGACACACCAGCAGGAGCTGAACTGGAGGTGCCTCGAGCCACGACTGAGTTCAAGCTCAAGCGAATAACTCAAAACAAAATGCACAAAAACAACAAGCTAAACAGGAAGCTGACTGATCCTTGGCCAGTGATGTCACGAAGAATCAGGAGGCCTTCAGTGACATCTGCGGCAACCAGCGCATCCTCAGCACAGCAACTATTCGCAACCAGCCACTTTCTAGAGCTTAGTTCGTCTTCAGGCCTGGATGTTACCGCATCCCATCATGAGCCCTCAGTGATGTTGGCGGTTTTTCTCAGTTCTCAAAGAGTCTGAGTTGGCAGAGATGACTTGCTGTGCATCGGACTGGAAGGGGATTGAATCCATCCAAGACTCCGGCCCTAACGCAACCGTCAACCATTAACTTTGAGCCACCTCCTTAAGATGTACTTATATTACATATATATATATACACATTGTTGTGTATTATATATATACACATAATCATATTGTTCTTATATATACGTAATATATGAATCATTATGAATCAGGGCAAATGTTCTACAACTCCCACTGGCGGTGGAAATTGCATTTTTTGGCGGTACTTCTCACTAGGCCCAATTACTTGCTTTTGGTCAGGTGGTTCATTGCTATGAAGCCGACTCAATTATCCCCATTATCAAAAGAAACTATGCTGATTGGCAACAGCAAGGCGCATAATTTAATCTCGCAGGCTGGTGGTGCAAGAAGCACAAATCCGCACACTGTCACATTGTGGCAAAATGACTGCAGAAGCTTCCTCCCAAGCTATGTGGACCTTGCACAAGCTGGTTGGCTCGAGGGCCGCTGCCGGTGTTCATCGAGGGATTCAAACCCACCATCCACGTGGCCGTGGTGCTCCTAGGTTCAGATCTACGAGAGAGGAGAGTCTTGAAGCTGTCAGATCTACGAGAGGAAGCGCACGATGCCGTCAGAGCGGATCTGCAAAAACAACGCCTTCCTGCAGGATAAATCGGATAAGCAAACACAAAGCAAGCACAAAGAAGCCCTTTCTGCATCGTTCTGCCCTCTGAGATGTTGAAAAGGTGATGCTGAGTCCTTGTTGGCTTGTGTGATCCAGCCGATGGCCTTGTTGATCACAGCCACCAGTTCACAAAGTGGATAAGCTCAGCTTCGCCAAGGCACTCCATCAAGCTTCGCTTTGACCTTTAGCCTTGAAAGGCCAGACCTCGAAAGGACAAAATGTGTTTTCATGGTGTTTTGTGCCCTCTGGTCTCTAAATATGTATTTACCCTCGCTTCCTTAGTCCTTGGACCTTTATCAAGAAAATCACGTTGCAAGAACTGCACATGCACTTGGCACTTTGGGCACTGCTCATCTTTTTGAGGCCAGGAGAGAACTTCCAGCACCTTCTCTAATTGAATGTTGACAAACGACAAATTGACAAATGCTGCTGAGGCAATTCAAGGAAACTCGGCCCTGTCCTCGACCTGCTTGACACTTCTGATGCCCTCTTTTGGTGGACCATCCTCAGTTCGCATGCGCTGAGAAGCTGGAGGACTCTCTTTTTGAATCTGGCCTCGAAAGACTCGAAGAGCTCCGTTTGTCGAAGAATCTCAGGGTTTTTGAGTACTCACAAAGATTCAAGCAAAATGATCTGACGAACATGCGGACATGACGTTTGTGAAGCCAATACTCAACAAGGACTGTTTCCACCCCAGAATATAAGCAGCCTTGCAGTCAAATGGCCTTCCACAAATGGCCAACCTCTTGAAGAAAAATGCTGCCATCGTTGCCAGCAATGGTAGCCCAACCCTCCTGCAAAAATTGGGATTTCTTACGTTAGAGTCAGTGAGAAGCGGGGAGCTGCAGTGTGCATCGTGCAAAGAGATGGAAATGTAGAATGTAGTTCTGCAAAAAGCGCAACATTTGCAAAATCCAGATCATCCCAGGCCATCTGCCTTGTCTTCGCCAGTCACCTAGCGGTACGGAATCCGATGATTGAAAGTTGTCGGAGGTGGATGCAAAGCAGTACGTCCGCCTTGACCTTGGCACGGAAGACCTGCAAACATGAAAGTCTCAAACTTGAGTCTCCTGCGAATTGGCAGCCTTCCCCACCTTCATGGAAGCCTCCTTCTCAGGCCCCTCCAGCATCTCCACAAACTGACATGGGAATACATGCGATTCGGCTTGAAAAGTAGCTTATAGTTTCAAGGCGAAATGCACGGTCGGTATTTGCTCATGTATATATGCATGTAACTGTGTGTCCCCAGTGCCTTTTTGCTCCAAAGGCCTCATCCTTTGCTCCTGTGAGATGACATGTGCTCCTTCATCCACGTGTCTGATCCAGCTCGCCCTGGCAATGATGGCTCAGCCGCCTTCGCGGGCATCTCCATGTGTGAGCTGTTCATCTTCGTGCCCAAGATATGATCTGTTCAGCATGTCAAATGCCGGCGCCTTGAACGTTTTCAGGGTTTTTAGCTAAACTTTGCAAGACGTGCGGGAGATGCCTGCCGGCACCAGTTCGGTTTCAGCTCCGCGGGGAGAAAGTTCCAACAAGTGGGCCGCCATTGGCCACCAGTTGTGCCAGTTGGAGAAAAAGAGATGGAGACAAGGTTGCAAACCGCGGTCAACAAAGCACCGATTGGGTCACTCCAGCACTCTCCTTCGGAGAACGATGCAGCATGGACAAGTGGGAAAGGAAGGAACAAAACAGCTAAGGTGAATATAGAACTTTCCAAAAGGTCATGACCGAGCAGTCAGGACGACTCACAAAGATTGCCCCCAAAAAAGATTTGTCTGAAAAGGCTTCAGCTTGATGACCTGACCATATTGTTGCTGTTTCCCTTTGCAAAAAGGACCTATTTCGGCACGCTGCACCGGTTGGGAAGATGTGTTGGCGGTGGGAGCAAAGTCGCTTTCCTGGATTGGTGGAAGTCTCATCGTGTAGTAAGCGCCTTGCCGACCTCTCTGGCACTCCACTTTGGTTGTGCACCGTGTAGCTGAAGCAAGTTGTGATGCAGGGAGCAGTCGGAAGCAACACTGTTCCTGCAGGCTTCCTTTGCCGTTCATACTGACGCAGTGGACTCAAACTATGAAAGACCCAATGGTCAAACAGTGAACCACACAAGTCAACCAATGCCCGTTGAGCACGAAGCCAGTGGCCAGCTCACACCTCTTCGCAAATAGCTGTAGGCCGGAGCTAAAATTAGGCCCAAGGCATTGTGGTCCAAGGATGGACCTGACCCCCAATTCCGATGCATGCATGAAGGACACCATCTTCGTAGCAAGCGCAAGCCGCGCAAGTTGCGGGAGGCAATTACTACTGGGAGCAAGAAGCTGCTAGGGGCTCCTGGCATCGCTACTAGGAGCATTCTTACTACTAGTAACAAGAAGCTGGAGGCAAAGGAATAATCATGACTCGTCCTGTATCTGCGTCGATGCGTCTAGCAGATGCGCTTCACGACAAAATGTGCGAGAGCCAGCAACAAACATATACTGTGCCGCCTCCCCAACATTCAGCTGCTGAAGTGTTTCGCTGCCATTGACTTCCAACTTCTTAGTCAAAGGCGTCTCCTGAATCAATACTACATACAGTACTACTTCTGTCGAATCTGTGGCACAATGACAAACTGCAACAAGTCGTCCTTCACCACCTTGAAGTAGACCTTGAGGATTCGAGAGAAGGCCTCGAGAGGCAGTGTGCTATAAAGAAAGAAATTGTATCTTCCAGGGTGCCTTAAAGGGACATTGCTACCAAGGTACCTCGGGTGATAGAGTCACTGCATCCGGCTCCAAGACGCTAGCGAAGAGACTGGAAGCACCATGGAAGCACGCAAGCACAGGCGGGCACAGGGCAATGACGACACTCGACACTGTTTGACACGGCTTGACACTGCTTTGCTGCTTGGCCTCCTCACTTCCTCTGGCGTCAGCTCAGCTTTCACCTTGGAATAAAGTCATAATACAGAGTCATACGTTGATAGATATCTCATATCTGAATGACTCATCCCTTGCATTCAGGCAAGCAACTACCTTCTTCGGCTTCGGTTTTGGCACAACGGAATTGTTCTGCCGTCAATCAGGCTGCAAGCTTCCGGATCAAGAATCAGGTTTTTCGTCAACAAACATTCAGAGAAGCAATGCTGAATTGCCTTGGCCAGAACCATCTCATCTGAGGTCTCCTTGGCAGTTTCTTGAGGATAAACCTTGGCAAGTCAGGTCCTCTTTTTGTGTTGTATTGTGCTAGAGGAGATATTATACCAGAGACACTTGAGTGGGTGTCGAAACTGCAGTTTTGGACCTTTCCACGAGTTTTTGCGGGCAGAACTAAACTGGCTAAGGGTGTGGCAAACTGCCGTCTATGACCTTCATTGGGGAGACAAGTGAGGAGACAAGGCAGCAGCGGCAGCGGTGGACCAAAACGCCAATCAGCCACCCAGTCATTGAGAAGTAGGAACCCCTATAGTCAGAGTCCGACACGCGACACCTCCCATCCGAGAACCCTGATGAACAATACCTGTGCTTCAGAGGGCTTTGCAAAGCATATAGCAAGCGATGGCCCTCTATGGCTTCTATGTTTGGTCCCTTCATAGTGTAGCGCAGTCCAGTTGTGTCGTGTTCAGTCTTTCCCCACCCCTGAATTTTCCCCGGATAGGGATAGCTATAGGGGCTCTTACAGTACTTCTTAATCACTGGGTGCCTGTATTCTTTTAGGTTTGCCGCTGCTGTGGCGGCTGCTGCGCCGCTGCTGCCTTGTCTCCCCACTTGTCTCCTTACATCTGTGTGATCGCCGTTTTGGTTTGCCGCTGCTGCTCTGTCTCCCACTTGTCTCCGTACCTGCCTCCCCACTTGTCTGCCTGTGCGATGGCCATTTATTGGTTTGCCGCTGCTGTGCCGCTGCTGCCTTGTCTCCTTAGATGTTTCCCACCTTGTCTCATGGGCTCGCTCGTTTGAGTTAGCTGCTAGCTAGGGTCTATGCCGGTGCAATTTATACAACAGCAAATTGTTTATGGTACTAAAATTGTTGTTTTTCCCGCGCCGGGGCCCGGCACCGGGGCCGGGCCCCGTGTCTATGTTTGCTCCTTTCATAGGATAACGCAATCCAGTTGCAGTCGCAATGTAACAAGCTTTTCGATGCACCACCAACAACAGCAACAACTGTTTGTGGTTCGATTACTACAATCCAATCCTTTTTCATGTGCCCACACAAGTGGAGTCAAGGCAGCAGCGGCAGACAAAGTGCCGATCACAAAGGCAGACAAGTGGGGAGACAAGGCCGCGGTGGACAAACACAAATCAGCCACCCAGTCATTGAGAAGTTTGAACCCCCATAGCTTTCAGCTATCTGGGGAATAGCAGCAAGGCGCCATGCTGCAAAAACTTATTGGAAATAAGGAAATAAGTAGCATATAAGCGGAGTAAAAGTACCAAGTGGCCTCCCCAAGACCTGGAAGCTCTTCTTGCTCGTCCGTAGTGCGATTCTCTACGCATTCAAACTCGTCTGGGATGTCCTGGGCTCAATCAATTCACGGTGGAGGATTGAACATATTCAGAAGCTACTAGGAACAAGTGCATCGCTTCTAGTAACAGGTGCCTTACTAGTAGTAACAAGAAGCTACTAGGAACAAGTGCCTCGGTCACGCCTTGTCCACTATCGCAAAGAAGGATGCGAACTCCTATCGCTCAGTCTAATCAGCAAGCATCGATGCATTTCTGAGCTTTCTGGGCTAGGGAGTGAACAGCGTCCTCCTCATCTACCACACCATCGCCATCCGCATCCATGTTGCGAAATAATTCCTCATTTGCAGAGAGCCAATAAATTAGACACCATGTTTGACAACATAATTCAACATTCTGCCTCGAACGAAAGTTCGTTGACTCGTGCATAATGCCGAGCAACCTGTCACTTCTACTGCATTGGCCAGTCATAGAAAAAACATGTTCTTCCAACGTCAAGCCTGCCTTCATCCCAAATGCTCTTACCATCTCTGTCTCTTGAGCTCTCTTAAGGCAAGCCTGGCTTTGAAAAGCATTGATGCTAAGTCTGCTAAGTACATCGAAGTACTAAGCATGCACAGCAACTGATGTGTTAAATCATGCCAATCATGCCTCGCCTCCTCCCTATGGCGTTTGCACAGATTTTCTACACGAACCAAGCGGAGGTCTCCGCGGCCCATCTGCAAGTCGAGCGGCTTGATCTGCGCGAATCAAGAGTGAGGCTCTAGTAGCATCCTTGCTCCTAGTAGCGATGCCCTTTGCTTCTAGTAGCGTTCTTGTTCCTAGTAGTGCGGCCAGGAGCCCCTAGTGGAATTAAAGTGCAAGTCAACAAATATCAACACGAAGGCAAGTGCTCAGGTGCTCCCAACTTTGGTCCTTCTTTGGTACAGAGTGCATCTCTTGGTCTACACAGTGCGCTGAGCTTCAAAGCTAGCAGCTGGCGGCTAGCGGCAGGTCGCTGTGTACTTGGGAGGTTGAGTTCAGGATGCTTGACAGGGGCGTTGCTTTGTCCAGAATAACTCGACGTGATCAGAGAAGGACAAAAAGCATCAGGCACTGCTGCGTGTGCTAGTGCTATAGCCTTTGCCCCTCTACTTATTTACCGCAAGCGCACTATGTGTCCAAATTGGGGATATGAAAGCTCTATATAGTGAAGGCTGCTAAGGGAAACAATACAGCAAGCAACAGCTCGTGTCATTCTTCTCACCTGTATTCTGAACAACTCGTTCATGTCCTCTTCATACTTCCTGGGTGCGTCGAATCCCAACACATCAGCAAGAAACAAGCAAAGGAACGCATGCTGCCGCATGCTGCTGTGTTGTGCGTGTATTTGAGAAAAAATTTGCAATGCGTCTTGTCGAAGCCAAGGGGGATTGTCTCAATGCGGCGCTTCACTTTGCAGGCAGTCTGCCTGCACACCTCTGGACGAAGAAGGTCAGGTGTTGCACTGGTGTTGTTTGCATCTCTGGAATCTGGAATCTCTTCTTTACGTTTGCAAATCAGAGAAACAGTCAAGGCCTCCACCATCTTGTCACAGTCATCTGCGCACCGTTCCATCTCAGAGACGGAGGAGTTTTTGACCTAAAAAGGAATTTGACCAAATATGAAGGCCGTTGAAGGAGGCTTCGCTATTAGGTTGGAGGCCATCGCGTTGAAGGCCATCGCTTTTCGGTTGGTTGCTTGAAGCCTTGCTTCAATAAGAAGTTTTGTTGATCCAAGACCAAGACCCTGCAAGCCAATGGGCGGACGGCCTCCTCAGCAGCTCGCATGTCCTTGCAGCATGTGACGTGGGGTCTCCTACCTCCAAGGGCTCTGGAGCTTAAAAAACAATGATGTGTCACCCATCTCCCTGTCGAACTTGGCATAAAGTCTTTCAACCTGGCCACTTAGAGTGTTCAATCTGGCACAAGCTCATCAGCACAAGCAAGCAAGTCATGTGCAAAGCCAGTCAGAAAGAAATGCGTGCGTGTGATGATACAAAGCCCCAGGAATACATACATACATACATACATTGCATTGCATTGCATTGCATTACATTACATTACATGCCATTACATGCCATTACATACCATTACATAACATTCCATTACATAACATTACATTACATTACATCACATTACATCACATTACATAATATAACATTACATTGCATTACATTGCATTGCATTACATTACATTAATACATTAATAAATTAATACATACATAGATACATACATACACACATACATACATACATACATACATACATACATACATACATACATGGCTCAAGCCGTTTGAGGTCTCAGCTGGTCCCATTCAAATCCAGGCACAGGAAGTACAGGCCGTGGGAGCCTTGCCTAGAGGACCTCACAGGCACTGGAAATTTCTTTGCCCGCAATTGCCGAGACCACCATCCTCGCTCCAACCAAGCTCTTTGGCGCCTGGCAATTCCTCGCTTGGCTTTTTGTTGGACGCCCACAAGGTCACTGGTACTTTCCCATTGCAGGTGCCTTTGACCTGATCGACAAGATCCGCAGTGGCACAAAATGCCGAAAGTGCGGCACCTGGTGGCCAGAACTTTCTATAGCCGCAATGGGAAAGGCAAGGGCTATGGAAGACCGCTCAACAAGACCATGGCCAGCCAACAGTGGCTTGAAGCACCACCTGGGCTATCTAAGATTAAGCCTTGAAGCGCACCAAGGTCCAGCAAGAAGCAATGCCCATCTGTAGCCCAGAATATTCCTTTACCAAAGTCAAAGGGGCCCTGCTTTGGTCAAACGAATGCCGGTACTCGCGTCATCCCCCCTTTTTTCCCAACATGGACAGGTTTGAGGGAATGGACTTTCCAGCACCCTGGAAGTCACTATCCAAGATTCGAGCAGTTGCCAAATATGATGACATCTTGCTGCTTGCTCCGTAAAGTTGAGAGACACCCTTGCAAGCGACACACGGAGTCGCGGTGAGAGGGAGCGCGCCTTAGTGCTGGTTTCCTCTCCCTGTAGCGTAGTCCCTATGGACGTTGCATCCATTGCTCCCATTACTATTGGTCTGCAGGGTCTCGATTTCACACCGTTTGCACATTAGGCGTGTCGGAGAGATGATTGTGAAATTCAAATTGTCCAACTCCCAGTGATTGTTGACCAACTCTCGTTTCCTCTCCGCCTTGCGGTAGCCAGTTTGTACAGAACCACCCCCGAGTGGCATCAAAGAGTCCAGGTTCCTGAGTGGATCCTACAGTCGGTTCCTCTGTCCATGCAGCGCTGCTCTATTGTCATGTTCAATGGCCATGTGGTTTACCCTTTGCAGACTCACCCCATATCACAAAAGAGGGCTTTATTTGGCATGGCTCGAACCCACAGATCGCGCTACCGTTTACGGCTTTCTTAGCCAGACAGACTACTTCCACTCCCTGAGTCACGGATTGATGCATTTCCTCAACACGCGCAGGAGATCGTCTCCAAGCTTACGAAGGCCGAGAGCGAGAAATTGCAGCAAAATTGAAAGGGCAGGTGACCGACTTGAAGAACACGTCGATCCGCAAGAATCAGCTGCAGGTCAAAATCGATGGAGTGAAATCTCAGTACACCTCCCTCCTCACCGACATGCAGAAGCTCCAGAGCAAGCTGGCTGAAGGGCAGGAAGCACTCCAGAAACTGTCGGAGGACTACATGAGGGCCGTCAATCAGACGCCAACACCAGCAGAGCTTGCAGAACCGGCAGGAGAGACCGAGCAGATCCCCATGGCTGTAGAGTCCTTTGTGCATAGTTTGGGAATCGGAATCTCACTCACCGAGGAGCAGAAATCCCAGTTGCATGGCCTCCTCAAGAGACCAAAGCAAGACAATGATGATGCCATCAAGCGCAGGAAAACCGAGGCAACCCAGGCGGCGTCAGCAGGACATTGCGGGTAACACTCCCAGCGCAGCCAAAACACAGGGGTGGACTGTTCCTGCTTTCAAGGGGCACTCAGCAACATGTGGAAGGGGAATGACACATGTTCCAGCTGAATCACTTTTGCACACAGTCGCACTGACTTTGGGGACTTTTCAGTTGCAGGGGACAAGCAACCACCAGGACCTTCAAGAGTCCACCACACAGCTTTCAATGCTACTGAGCACAATTTTGACTACTTCCAACCAACAGTGAATGGCACAGGCTGCATCAAGCTAACTGGAAAAGCTGCCGCTGTGACATCATCCACCTACGACAGTTTGGAGAGAAGTCCAAACATGAGCACCAATACGCTTCCACCACGGACCTCCTGATGCAAAATCTGTGCATGGCGGTGGGGAATCCAAGCGCACGCTGCTACGCCAATGCACCCTGGAGAGCCTTCTGCTGCATGTGCGCCTATTTGGCAGAGTTCAACCGCGAGCCATGGGGCACAGTTAAAGAGGCCGTCCAAACCTCCTTGGAACTCAGCGAGCCAGTGGACATCAAAACACTGCCAGGTCTACAAGAGCTATGGCACAAGCATGACCTCAATGCAGAAGGGGATGCGGCGCACTTCGTCAACTCCCTTTGGCTCCAATCCCAAACTAGAGTCACGCAATACAGATTCTCCGAAATCAAAGAAGGCGGATACGTAACGGAACATATCCAACTGCCCATCATCATCGACTACCCTGATGAATACCTTGATGAGCTCACGTGGCAAGAACTTCTCAACTGCTGGGCCAATCAGGGCTACGGACAATACCTCAGTGATGACAAGCTGGTTATGGTCAGCCACATCAACAGAGCAGTCACCATTGAAGGCACAGTCACAAAGCGCAAACGAGCTCTCAATCCACATGGGCCACATACAGTCCCACGGTCACTGGATGGCTACTCAAGAGCCAGCGCCGAGTACATCCCAATAGCCTACATGTGCCGCCGTGGACCTACTCATGAAACGGGGCACTACTTCACGATCTTGGTCTACAAAGACCTCATGTGGATCGCAGACGACGGAGGGACGCCCAAAGTCCTGCCATTCTTGACTCCACAGCTTGCGGGGCAAATAGTGCAAGTCTGGGGACTACAGACCTCAGCGCTGGCGACACCACGCCAGCTCGCCAGAGCCTTGCCTGCCCCTGAGACGCCAGACTACGATCCACCGCTACATGGCACACCGCCAAAGAAGGCCAGACACACACAGGACAACATGCGGATCCATGTGGCCAACATCACAACCTTCGGACGGCACACGCTCGACTGGTTCTGGAGTCGGGACAACGAGCTGTATGTTTTCGTTGAGACCCGTCTTGACTGCCAGAAGCACCACTCCATGTGCCAATACTTCGAGGTCCGAGGCAGACATGCTTTTGGATACCCGGCTCGCAGCAATCCTGGAAATGATGGGACACATGGTGGTATCCTGATCCTCCATGATACTGCACATGGAATCTCCAAGGGTTGAGCATTTTGCCATGGAAGGTTGCGGCTATATCAAGCCTTTGTATGGGAGGCCAAAGCCAGATCCATCCTGGTCGTTGCGGTCTACGTCAAGACCAATGAAACACTGCAGGGCCACACCAACTCCAAACTGCTGGCACGCATCCTGGCCCTCATCGAAGCCACCAACAGGCAATACGTGATGGTGGGTGACTGGAACCATCATCCCGAGCCACTGGCACCTGACACCACTTTGTTGAATGGAAACACGGTGACTATCCATCATCCACCAAAACCTGGCCCCACTGACCTCCATGACCACCGATTGGGCAGTGCCCTGGCGACCTCACTGCCTAGTCACATATGCCCTTGAAACAACTCCGCAGCTTCCCACCCCTGCCAAATGTGCCTGACATAGATTTCAGAGCGTGGAGCACCTACGTCTCACAAGTCGAAGACACCCAGCTCTATGATGCGGACATACATACATACATACATACATACATACACGCATGCATACATACATACATACATACATACTTTCATACATACATTCATACACACATACATACATACATACATACATACATACATACATACATTTTCACCATCCAAGGGTGTGGCTACCAAGCGTTCCTTTGGCAAGCTACTGAGAGCACCATCTTGGTGATAGGCCTCTACCTCAAGACAGGGGAAACACTCCAGAGTGAAACCAATGCTACCATCCTACCCTTGAACAAACCACCCATCCCTATATGGTGATTGTCCTTTCCGGCAATGTCATCGACTATGCCATCACGCACAACACCCTGGCAAGCACAACAGCACTCACCACAGACTGGGTCGTTCCCTGGAGACCTCACGCCCTGTTGAAGCTCCAGCTTGATGTTGAGTACCAACCAACCAGCCAGCACAAGCATGGGCAGACTGGATTTCCAAGACGGAGCAATACCTTCTGGAGGAACATCCGTGGGCGCCGCAGGGACGTGGCTCAAACCTTCAGGCGGTTCACAATCCACTTCTGGCCCAATCAGCAAACCATAACTGGAAGAAAGGAAAACCAGCCTTTTTGGGATCAGCTCAAAGCAAGATTTCACCTTGCACTCCAACAACCGGAGACCATGAAGAAAGGGCCACTCCATGGTTTCATGAAGATGATCAGGGAAGCACATCAGCACTGGGCTGGACCGCCCATGTGGGCACAGTTTCTTGATACCTGTCACCATTGGCATCAATACAGGGACCATGCAGCACCAGCTCCGAGAGACCCAACAATTGGCCCAAGAAGAAACCATGCTCCAATACAAAAAATGGCTTCAAGAAGGCTACAACAAAGGCCTCAGAGGATTATTCAGAAGCCTAAAGACCGACAGACCCCAATGCAGGATTGCATGGAGCAGAGACTTCGTGACGGGGACAACTGTGGCACATTAGGCAGGACAACAACCCACAATCCAGGACCTCCCTCAGCCACGAAGCCAAAGTACAGGCACAACACTTGCCACCACTCACGGCAGGC